ACCTTGTACGACCACCTGGCAGAATTGGAATGTTTGTCCAATATGTGGGAGGGTCAGTGTCACATTGCACACCAATTTCACGCTAAAGGTCCAAAGGTCCATCATATGCGCCAAAGGGGAAAAAGGTCGTCGAGTCGTTTTCTGCCCAAAGATCTGCACCCAAATTCCTGCACCGAAATTCCATTTGACCGCATAAGACATTTCAAAGCAATGAAGAGCCCATAATCCTGTCATGTCGCTAATTCTAAACCATGGACCACAGCCATACCGGCCAAAGAGGAGAAGGCCTAGACATTCTGAGCCAGTTCCCCCAGTTGGCCCGTTGGTTGACCGGATCGCGACCGTCCGAGGCACCCCTTCATCCACCGCCATGATCATCTCTTCGAAGGGCGGCCTCACACAGTTGTTCAGGAGCACCTTCCAGGGAGAATCCCCCCGGCGAGACGTTGTTGAAATCACCGAACATGAAGCGCAAATGGACCCCAGATGCTGAGGAGAAGCATCCACAAGGACACACTACTGCCTCCGCAATATTGGTTGACATGAAAACTGCCTTGCTGAGTTTGGGATCGGAGCTGAGAAGCTGAGGAAGAATCATGTCAGGATTTGTGGGACAGGTTGTCCGGCCGCCCTAAGAGAAAGACATCCTTCAATGAACCTCTTCGTTGAAGCAGTCTTTCCTAGATAGCGACTGAATTTAAAAAAAAAGAAAACAAAAAACAAAAAACACTGACAGTGGAATCAACAGGACTGCATTCTGAGGGTCCTCCAAAAGTGTCTTCTTTGGTTAGGACAAGACCATCTTATGTACTATACATTACTATTATATTCAATATTATATACATTATTATACACTATACTATATAATTACTCAGTGCCCAGTTTTTGGTTTCGCCCTGTTTGTTGGCCAGTAGCACGCGCAATCCCATCATTTTGAAGGATGATCGAGTCGTCACCACCCCAATCTCCCAGTCCGCCGAACCCCGCACGGAGTCCGCAGCCATTCGTCGGTCCCGCACTGGCTGCCCTTGCGCCTTTTGGGAGGTCCGGGCCAAAATGCTGGCGGAGATGCAGGAGAAAAGGCCCAAGAGAAAGTGCACGCAGCTGTTGCCTGCGCGGAGCTTGACAACTCCGGAAATTGCACTGCCGGCTCTGCCCACTTCAGATTTCATTGGACTGGGAGGCCCACGGCCAGGTTGCCGTGAGTCACTCATATAACCCTGCCCACCCCAATGCCTCCTGTCAAGGAGCCAGCCCTGGAATGAACAAATTTGGATATACAAACTTATATAGATGCTTTTCCAAATAAAAGGAAAAGCTGAAAAGCTCGTCAAACAGCAAAAGTAAGTGAGTCAAGTGAGTGACGCCTGTCCCTAAGAATATATCTCTGCAGCCTTCAACTTCACTTGCTTAGCTTCGCGAGCGGATCCTCTACACCCTTCGCCCCTCGCTAAGCTGGTCCCCTGGGGTCCAAGCTGCTAAGGCTCAAATAAAACAACCCCCCTCAAGAAGTCAGCACTCTCCGTCTATAGTAGCTAGAAGCTACTAGTCACAAGGGCATCGCTACTAGTAACAGGTGCATCACTCCTAGTAGCAAGAAGCTACTACCTCTTGGGTCCGCCCAGCTGCTAAGGCTCAAGTAGAACAACCCCGTCAAGAAGTCAGCACTCTCCGTCGGCAGCCAAAGACCTCGCTCGAAACAACGGATTGGTGCCGGAGGCGACATGTGCGTCGGCAACATCTTAGAGGGATGCATGCCCCACTTTTTGTGGGTCGGTGTTCAGGGTTTGGGTGGTAGCTTCTTGCGACTAGTAGCGACACCGATGCCCTTTGTTACTAGTAGACTAGTAGCTTCTTGCTCCTTGAGTAGTAATGGCAGGAGCTACTTGTAGCTTCTTGCTACTAGTCGTAGATGGTGGCTGATCTTTGAAAAGAAAATCGTTTTTTGTAGATGGTCACTCTAGAAGTCTGAAAGCAGGTGGGAAATCCGCTGTGAGCACATGATTGCTGAGCAAGTGGGAAGAAACCAAGGGCACCAGTCCCATTCTGAAAAGGCAAGCAGCAGGGAAAGCTAAGTGACGCCAACGGGAAACTCTTCATGGAAGCACACACCAGCATGGAATAGCGCATCAGAGCAAGTCGCAAAAGGAAACAATAGGTACGATGCGAAGGTAATGCAAGGACAAAGCAGAGTTTCTTCTTTCATTTCGGTTGTTCTGCGTGGCCCTACGCCCTGTTCTTAGCCGGACAACTGTACTTTGACTACCCGGATCACATGTGATTCCACTCATTCGGATCTTGGGTTCATGCAAGGACAAAGCCCACCTTCACAGTCTATCCTCGGCCGATGGCTAACCAGGTTGATCATGCAAAATAGTATTAGTAGAAAAATATAAGCTCATCACCGAAGTGATACAAAAACAGTCCAAAACAACTGGAAACCAAACCTGGAAGATGGGCTTCCCAAGAAGAAAACAATTAGTCCTTAAAACTACAAACACTAACACCTTCTTTCGGAGTTATATACGTTGACCACATTCCCACAGCGCAGCTTCGGCACCGAAGGAATAGGTGGAGGCCACGAGCATCAACGTGGAGACCACCGTCAAGCGCTCCTTGTTCCCGGAGCTCTCCCCACTGCGCAGAATTCGTGTCGGAGGGTCGGAGGGGTGAAAAGACACAGGTCACAAGAGATGGGGCAGTGATGCACGAAAACCTTCATTGGGGGTTCAGAATCTTCAAGAGGCAGGCCTGGCATTGCCATGAAACATGGGATTCAAACAAGCCTGAGGATCCCGCTCAAATGTCTTTGAACCGTGTATCTTGAATCTTGATCCATCCAACTGTCTCAACAACCGCGATATCTATTCAGCACTTCTCATGTGGCCTGACTTGCATGAACTAAGTGCATGAAGTTCTGCATGCAGTTCCGGGGAAGAACCACACAGAACCACTCTCCACAAGGAAACAAATGGACATCCATCCGAAGACGGTCTCCTGCACCGTCACCGAGGCCCCAATCACTTGCTGCACATCTGAGCGGAACAGGTTCGCCTTTGTCGGATCTGATGAAAAGCATGTATATAGTGTCGTTTGACCCAAGAGTGGATCGAACACTATATATCGTATATGATGTATACATTGTATTATATATATATATAGATATTCCATTATATTCTTACAAATATCCATACATAGATTCAATCCAGTTGCAAGGTTTTCCAAGGTGGATGCCTTTTTTGTATATGTTTGTGATAGTTTGTGCTCATCCAAATCCAAGAATCACAAGAGTGACCCCAGCGGGATCGAGGCCAAATAGATCTTGTGAATGAGAATTCAAGCCTAGTTGGATCAGGTACAGTAGCTCACAACTGTAGTCATCCTCAACTGAATTCCTCAAGGATCACACCCCCATCTGACTGACCCACTGCGCAGCACCTGAGCCGCGATGATCTGCTGCCTTCGGAACTTCCGGCTCTGCTGAAGCTTCAGGTTCTCGAAGAAGTTGCTACGGTTGTAGTCTGAGCTCGGAATCGCTGTGCCACACGCTCGTTCCGGGCTCAACAAGGGGAAAAAACCACCAGGACCTTGACAGAGGAGCCACGCGAAATGGACCACCAGATCTGGGAAGGATTGTCAAGAAAAAACATAACGTTAATAACATCCATGTTCAGGGTTCCTGCTGCTCTTCGGAGTGTAGCCCAAAACAAGGGACCTGCGATGTTTGACCGGCTTTGACCCTGCTAACCCACGAAGTTCAGCCATTCAAGTCATGAGAGAATAGAAGAAGCGCTAATGTCACTAATGTCCATAAAACATCTGAAATCCCTATAGGTTTACTGATGTAGATTGTTTGAAAAAGTGTCTTGGGGCTTTGGACACAGAGCCGGATCGCTGCTCTGAGGCGCTGTCACTGGGTGCGACTGGTGTGGCAAAGAAGACCACAAGAGTACCAAATATACAGCAGACTCTCCAATAGAGTCTGCTCCTCTCCAATAGAGTCTCCTCAATTCCAACTATACCGAAATCTCAGAAGTAAATGCCATGTCCAAAAGCTATACAGAAGAACAAAGCTACATCAGATGTTCTTTGACTGTAGCTACATCTATGAATCCTTCATCCTTCATTCGCTACCCCCGGACCGGAAGGACCGGCTTCCTTTCCAGGTGACTCAGCAGCTTCAACCCAGCTGCGGCGACCGCACTGGCTGCCAGCTCCATGGAATCCGCCGAGTCGGCGCGCGCCGATAGAGATCAGTGTGGGACGATTGCAATCCTAATAGCGATGGCCTCCAACCTACTTGGGCCTCCAACGTACTAGGATAGAGAACAATCAGCCAACGTCCCAAGAGATTTGTCTATCTTGAGAATGCTTAGAATTGAACATTGGGGCAATGGAGCTACGGGAATGTCTGTATAGGGGTGCAACACTCACAGGATGAAACATGCTGAACCAATAATTACCTTAACAATAACTACATGCATGTTTAGATAGTTTGGTTTCCAACAGATCATAAGGCCGTTGACACGGCGCATTCAGTTATTTCAAGGTTCGACTTCCTTCTACTGATTGCAAACATTTCAAGACTTCAATGATTGAATGATTGATTTGGAAGCAGTGGGCGAGACGCTCAGTATCTGACGACCTGGGTTGAGAAGCTGCTGAATCATTCATCCACATCTCTTTGCGGCTTGTACGGCTGCACAAGTCTATTTCATGGATTCGCATCTAAACATGTTCTTCTCAAGTCATCAATCCCACAAGCCAACATGTCCAACAACTATGCTGGTTCATGCTCCACCCATGGCCCATGGCCTCAAAGTCGGCGATTCAAAAGAACTCTGCTTCTCCACCAACTTTCTTCAACCATGTTCAACCCTGATGTCATGACCAGGAGCCAGCAAGGTACACCCTCAACTGAGAGCTCACAACGATGCGTTGGCATGTTGACATGTCGGAACTTCACCGATGGAATCGGCGATGGTCCCTGAGTACCGCACACCCCGTGCATCCAGTCACAATCGCTGGCCTCAGTGTTGGTCGAACGAGCCGCTCACCGTCTGATCAGGTGGATTTCTAGGAGCCGTTGCGAAAGAAACAACAAGACATAAGACACTTAATAGCGATGGCCCCCAACCTAATAGCGATGGCCCCCCAACCTAATTGCGATGGCCTCCAACCTACTAGCGATGGCCTCCAACCTAGTAGCGAGCTCGAGCTCACAAACAGCTTCGGCTGACAAGCCGGAGTTTCAATGCTAAAAGGCAGGCCTCTCCCCAAATATATCTGATAATAATTACAGCCTCCTTCCAGAGCCCCTTGGTGCTGCTGCTGCTGCTGCTGCTGCTGCTGCTGCTGGTAAAGGAACAAGTCTTGCAAGGAGCCATGTTCAACTTCCTTGTTGTTGGATAATTACGGAGATAGGGTATTTAATCAAACTTTGAACAAAGTACGAACAATCACACTCCAACCTTTTTTCCATCGAACTTCGAACACCGGAAAAAAGAAACACCTCCGCCTCCGCAGCAATCTTCCCAGTCGACCGCGTCAGACATGTGAAGCTGCGGAATATGAATGGTTAGGTAGGAAATCCATAAAATCTGTGAGAAGCCATTTATTCCGGGTCAATAGGGGTTTGTCCCGGGACCGACATTTCTGATTCATCCCGTCTGACACCGAGGTCACATCAAGCTTTGTTTTTAGAAAACCCAGAAAATGGGATCTCCGCAAATCAAGCCTCTGATTCAAAGCCCTTTCAGGCTGTTCCCTCGCCTGGCCCCTCCCTCCAATCATCTGTTGGTTTAGCGGAGGATTCCGATCATGCTTGAGTCATTTGCGAAAGCCAAGGTTTTATAGATGAGTGACCAAGCAACATGCTAAGCCAAGCCATAACTATTGACCATACCATTTGCACAGACCCTGGGCTTGATTTAAAGAAATTCTTCACTATCAGTGGGTTCTCGAAAGGTTTAGTGAGCATACCCTGAAAACATCTACTTGCATTCTACAGTTCTACATGATTGTGTATTATACACATGCAATACATATGCTGCTGATAAATCTCTGTGATCCGTGTTGAGAATCAACTTTGCCTAATTCCAGGTTCTGATTCCAGGTTTACCGAGTCCATTGACAAAATAACATGGTTCGGTCCTCTGTCTCACGGATGCGATGACTTCTGACGATTCCACTGTTTCAGCTGCAAACACTCAACAAAAAGAAACAAGAACCCACATATAATATATATATAAAGATGCAGCGCCCATTTCTTTTGTTCCACTTCGCAGCGAGTTTGTCAAATTGAAAGAAATTAGGAACGGTAGAGTCAACCTATAGTCCGTTCCAGGACCCCTGTCCGTCGAAAAGATGGTCCCAAACACCCGGCCACTCCCTGGGTGAAGGGTACCTCTCAGCTTGTCCTACACCTGGCCGAGCCACTCCTCCGAAACCGGTGAGGATACAAGCACAGACTAAGGTTGACACGCAAAAAAGTGAGGCTTCACGCCATTTTCCCTTGCCTTTCTTGGATCGCGTTGATCGTTTTCCCCGACAATGAAAGAAGGGGTGGCAGAGGGAGGGAGCTTGAACCACAACACTACGGAACAGCCGAAATGAGATGCATCTTAACTTACGGGGGCGAAAGTACAAAGATGCAGCGCCCATTTCTTTTGTTCCACTTCGCAGCGAGTTTGTCAAATTGAAAGAAATTAGGAACGGTAGAGTCAACCTATAGTCCGTTCTAGGACCCCTGTCCGTCGAAAAGATGGTCCCAAACACCCGGCCACTCCCTGGGTGAAGGGTACCTCTCAGCTTGTCCTACACCTGGCCGAGCCACTCCTCCGAAACCGGTGAGGATACAAGCACAGACTAAGGTTGACACGCAAAAAAGTGAGGCTTCACGCCATTTTCCCTTGCCTTTCTTGGATCGCGTTGATCGTTTTCCAAGTCCCCCTGCCCTTCCGCCTTTGGCAGGAGGTTCAAGTGTTGTGATCTTTGGCGACTGTAAAAAGCTACGAAAAACGGTTAAAAAGGGGCGAATGCGTGCATCAGACGGGGGTATTTTCAACTGACTCAAAACGGCCAGACCCTCGTTCAGGTAGATCCGGGCACTTTTCTGAGTGTGCCATCTTCCTTGGAGAAGAATGCGGTCTAAATTCTGATGCTTTTGGAACCAAAAAGTGGCCCCTCCCCTCCGAAGAGAGTAGGGCCTGAACCCGACATCGTGTATCTTCAAGCCCTGCAGGCACAGATTAAACAGTGCTCGCCATGTCACAGGCGATGGGGTTAACCGAGTGCTTGGTGAGCAAGCTGTCTTCCAACAACGGAGGAGCCGGACAACCGGTTCATAACCTAGAACTACGCTCTCTGCCGCACCATGGCGTTTTCCGCCTTTGGTGAGCCCAAGGTTAATTAAGGCTTGTCCGTCCCCCGGACCTAGGGTCATGTGACTTGAAAGGAGCCCCAGGATCTCTCCTGTGCGTAACATTGAGTAAAAACCCCCATCCCGCCATCGCATGTACCAGATGCTCAGGCAAGGGTGGAGCGCGGTTGGGCAGTTCGTTAGTCTGCCATGTCTTCAGGAGCCTCCAGGCTGCCGGCATGTGGCCTCTCAAGCCCGGCTGGGTGTCCTGCAGCCCAGCTAGAGTATCACAAGCCAAACCACGGCCCTGTCCAGAAGACCATAGGTGTTCCAGGTAGTCACAGACTAGAGGGTCAAGCTTCGCTTTGTTGGTAGGCAAGGTAAGTCCTTCATGTTTAAGAAAGGTGAGAAACTGGTCCACTGCTTTGTCGTAGCGGCGCCTTGTTGCGGGCTGTACCGTAAGCTGGCGTAGTGTACCCAGTCCCTTTCGGATCTTTGCGCGCTCTTGTTGTGTTCCACCCTCAAGTATGCGCTTAGGCATGCTTAAACTTGCTCCGCACCCGACTGCCCCACCGACTTGGCTTGTCAGCAGGGTTACAGTCGGTACTCACATACCCCCACATAATTTGAGAATTCGAACACAACATTAGCGCATTGATCCTGGACATCACACTTCGAAGCTTCCTTGAGCTCGTCCTGCCCCTTGTCAAACCATGGAGGCAGACTAGCGAATCGGTCAGATGCAACATCCTCACACCACGATGCTGCTTTCGTTCCACACGCCACCTAACAGCATTGAGTATTGCTCTCAACTCGAGGGAGTTGATGTGCTCCTTGCCCTTGGTCCACCGCCAACCATTGACAACCTTCCATCTCCAAAGCTTAGCTGGCACCGAAGCCCTCAGGCGATGGAAGCGAACCAGCTGCGTGCTAGGGGTCGACAACAAGATGTCCTCACCCTTGAGGCTGATGAGGTTTCCCAACTTGAAAGCCAGCTCCCGCTCCGTCCCCTCTTGGGGTTCAATGCTCCGAATGGGCATCCGCACCAGACGCCCCTGGAGCAGCTCGCCAGAGCCTGCCTTACATGCATCCACAATGTCTTGCGGGCTCATGGCGGTGACCAACCCAATGGTGGACAGGAGCTGGTTAATCAACCACGCGACAACGGGCACACTCCAAGTATTGCCGAGCAAGGTGAGTCTGCTGTCATTGTACCCGGGCTTATGTCGATCTGATTTGCCTGCGCAGGGAGCCGTGTAGTTCAATGGGAAACCAAGGATCAACTCCCTTTCCTTGACGCTTGCAACTCGAAGTTCTCCTCGACGGTTTGCCAAGCAATGCACCTCCTGATCTTGGTATGGTGGGAACCTGTGTTGATCCGCCTGCCACCTTGCCACCTCCGACTCCGTGCAGAATGAAAGACCTGCAGGCTTTCGCCCAGGTACCGGGGATGGCCTAGCCGTGGTAAAGGTGGGAAACGGTTTGGTCGGAGTCACCTTCGCCCAACCAGGCTCCAAAACATCATCCAGCGATTGCTGAGCTGTCAAGCTCCATGTCACCGGCTCTTCATCGTCGAACTTCTCAGCTCCCGGACCAGTCAGGAGCTGCCACGTGGTCCAATAAAGCCGTGGTCGATGGCACCATGATATGCCACCAGCATCAATCCGCACTGGCTGGTCGCCAAAGTCCCGGCTCATGATGTCTCTGTCTCGTGCGTCCATAGAGCTCACTGACTCCATCAAGGCATGCACCTGCGCCCACATAAACCGCCGACGAACGAGATCTCGCACCCGTGAGACATGAACGAAGAGGCAAGACCTGGGATCACGCAGGGCGCCCTTCCTATCAGTGTTGAGCCCGGAGACTCCTTGACACGGTGGTCCTCCGCCAATCAGCACAACACTGCACTGGGAGAACCTCAAGCTCCATGAAAGGACCTCAAGCTCAGTGATCTCCTCCACGTCTTTGTACACCAACACTCCAGGGTAATGAGCCTCGACAACCCTTCGGGCGGCCGGGTGCTTCTCGACCGATATGTACCCTACGATGTGGACATCCTGGAGGTCCAGGGCCACCCTAATGGCACCAATGCCATCGAACAAGCCAATCACCAGAACACCGTGATCAGGCAGTGGTCGCGGGCGCTGTCCTCTCAACCCTCCTAGGGCAACCATGCTACCAATTGGGGTCAACCCATCTGATCGGCAGACTCCTCCACCGGTATTTGATGCATCACTGCACGTAACCATTGGGTGGGGTGCATGGGCAAGCGGAAGTCTAGCCTTACCAGCGGAAGGAAACTCAAGAAACGCAGAATCTCCAGCCTACACTCCTGCGGCAAAGGCTTCCAGGGTCTCCCCGAGGTGTTGAAGGACTCAATGAACTTCCAGACCGCGTTCAACGACCCCAGAGTTGGCCTGCGGTACATAGAAAAGTAGACCAGACCTCCGCAAACAACCTGGACCTGACGCTGTGACACGGCCTGCTGACCTATGAGAGTCAACGCAAGGCTCAGGTACTTCCCAATCTTCGAACGCAACTCCTCGAACTCCGTCCACCATTGCTCCTTGCAGCTCGGCATGTGGCGACCGCTGAACAGACTTCTTCTCATTCCTGGGCACCTCCCACACGCTGTACTCCTGCCGTAGTGCCAGTACTGCCTCCGGCGC